ACCGCTTTTGACGACGACACTGCCTACGTGGACCTTGGAACCTCGCAACTTTGGACTTGGCTTTCTTCGACCTCGGACTTCTTTTGACGACAGCTCTTGCTTCTCGGCTCTTTGTTTGTTCGTCCTCATTTGCTGTGTTGCTTTGCAAGAATTTGGAAGCAATTCAGTTTAATACAGATCTTTTCTCTGGATAATCTGGATTATTGCTTTAGTTTGTTTTTTAAGATGAAACTTGCTGCTACTTTTAAGTTTTGACCAGAGACATGGAAGTAAGTGTCTCTGAGTCCTTTTGCTTTGTATTAATAAACTATTCTTTTGGACATACTCCTGAGTCTGGCTCTTTAAGGCATCTGGGTTCCGACACATAGATGACTTCCAACTCTATTATTTTACTGTGGGCCTGTGTAATATAAAACTCATAACATTTCAGTACTCTTTTATCCTCAGGATTAAAAAAAACTGCTTCTCTAATCCCCAGTTTGATCTCTTATAATATTTTATACTCTCTCCCCTTTAATTTTCTCACTGTCATAATGGTTATGAGATTTATAAACTGTCTTTGAATTATTCAGAATGATCTCTCTTACTACTATAATCATTAGCAGGGTATAAAATATCATAATAGCCCAATTTTACTTGACTACGGATACAGAAAAGGCCAAAGAACCAAGACACGATTAATGCTCGGCCTCTTATTAATGTATTTCACTGGTCATTTGCCATCCTTGAAAGGACATTACAGCACAAGGATATCTATAATTGAAAAATGTCTATTAATCATATACATTATCAATAATGAAACATGCCCTTGAATAATTGACTGTGAGCAATCTATTAAAGTGAGTATCTGCTGAAACCAAGATAACATGCCTTTAGGCTTTGAGTACCTGGAGAAAATCAGTTTATGGCGTACTAATGCCACCTACAAATTGTTGCTTTTTTAAACGTTTTTTTAGTTCTACCTGATTAGTCAGAACATGTGGTTCTAGGTCATACAGTTATGGAATTATTTTTCTTTTTTTCGTGTCAGGAGCAACTTGAGAAACTGCAAGTCGCTTCTGGTGTGAGATAATTGGGCATCTGCAAGGACGTTGTCTAGGGGGGCGCTTGATGTTTAATGCTTTTCTCATCCTTGTGGGAGGCTTCTCTCATGTCCCCACATGGGGAGCTGGAGCTGACAGAGAGAACTCAACCTGCTCTCACCGGATTTGAACCACTGACCTGTCGGTCAGCAGTCCTGCTGGCACAAGGGTTTAACCCATTGTGTCACTGGCAATGGATCTTATAAAATATAGCCATGATTACCTCTATGTATCTCTTTTCTTCATTTCCCATTATGAGGGAAAAAAGATTAAATATTTTTCAAATGTATGTGTCTGCTTTAAAGTTGCCTTCCTTTGAGGCTGAGAAAGAAAGACTGGTCCAAAGTGACCCAGGAATTTCCAAACGTGAGTGGGGATTTGAACCTTGCTCTCCAGAGTCCTGGGTTGATCAGCACTGGGAAAGTATCATGGTGGCTCTATCCATCTGGACACCGGATCAGCTGTTCAGACTGAACCTGAAAGTCTTGCAATACTCTAGATCAGGGGTTCCTAAACTAAGGCTCAATGCAGACCTCCAAAACCAATGACCCAGCCCCTACTCTAAACTTTAGACAGTACCTGGAAAGATACAATGTACACCGAAAGTTAAAGAAAACGGATACAATAGAACAATAAAGTCTTGGGCGGCAGCGGGGGGGGGGGGGGGGGGGGGGGGGGGGGGGGGGAGTGACAAGCCATTAGAACAAATGCCATTAAAGCCAGAATTGAAAAGTCGGCGACAGATCCTAAATGTAGACTCTGCAAGGAAGCAGATGAAACAATAGATCACATGAAACAATAGATCACATGTGCCAAGTTTGGTCCAGAACTATTATTGTTTGAGTCCACAGTGATCTCTGGATAAAGGTGAACTACAACTCCAAAACTCAAGATCAATGCCGACCAAATCCTTCCAGTATTTTCTGTTGGCCATTGAGAGTTCTGTATGCCAAGTTTGTTGGTGGAGCTCTTCTGTAGGTGAACTATACAATTACAAATCCCGAATGACAAAATCAATTCCCCCCAACCCCACCAGTATTCAAATCTGGGTGTATTGGGCCTGCCTCAGGGGGGCGTACTTGCCCCATCCATGTTCAACATTTACACAAATGACCAGCCACTGCCAGAAGGGACAGAGAGCTTCATCTATGCAGATAATCGTGCCATTACCGCTCAAGGATGGAGCTTTGAGATGGTTGAACAGAAGCTCTCTGAAGCCCTAGGTGCTCTTACTGCCTATTACAGGGAAAACCAGCTGATCCCTAATCCATCTAAAACACAGACATGTGCTTTTCACCTCAAGAACAGACAAGCATCCCGAGAACTGAGGATTACCTGGGAAGGAATCCCACTCAGGCCTGTAGCTGGGGGGGGTGGGGGTGGGTGGGTTAGGGGTTTACCCCCCCCCCAAATTTTTCAGATTAAAAAAAAAAACCTGGTTTACTCATGAATTTTAACTAGTTCACCAAATGCTAAGTCTATGAGATGCAAAAAATTAAGAGTCCCTCAAGAACTGCAAGCACTATCTCAAGCATATATTGACAATTTATTCACACTGTCATTACTTGCAGCAATAGCCGGTGTAGTGAAGCAACCAAGTTGGGGGGGGGTGTTGAATGCTCTCATTAAGGAGGCCAGACTTGGTGGAGGTGGTTGACAGGGGCAGAGCTGCAGGCTATTGAAGGCTGCTCTGCCCCCTGCAGTGCTCTTTGCTTCGGCGTGAGCTAGGAGGCAGGTTTCAACCTCCCCCCCAAAAAATTTTCAAACCCCTCCCCCAGAAATTTTCAACCCTCCCCGATTCTTTTTCTGGCTACGGCCCTGGTCAGAAGGGACAAAACAATCCCTTGCATCTACGGGAAGCTGCACACAACAAATAGACATTAACAATGTGTGAAAAGGCTTCATGCCTGTCTCTCTTATTTCCCATTTTATCCTCACAATAACCCTGCAATGTAGGTCAAGCTCAGAGAGTACAATCATTTAGTGCAGTGGTTCTCAACCTGTGGGTCTCAAGGTGTTTTTGCTCTACAGCTCCTAGAAATGTCAGCCAGTTTACCAGCTGTTAGGCTTTCTGGGAGTTGAAGCCCAAAACCATCTGGGGACGCCAGGTTGAGAACTACTGCCTTAGAGTTTGGGTAAGTCCCACTGGAGCATTGCAGTACACCTAGATACCTGGGAGTCACTCTGGATCATGCTCTGACCTACAAGAAGCACTGCCTGAATATCAAGCAAAAAAAAAAAACTTAGGGTAAGGGTTAGGGTTTCACCATTAAAAAACTCTTACATTCCTTCTATAGTATCTGTCTCCACCCTGGCTCACCTTAGGTAAATAAATATCTCTTGCGCAAACAGCACTCCCAAAGGAGCGATGCACCATCTCCGTAATGCTCGGAGCTTCCGGACCCAGCTATCATACTATTACCTGGGAAGTACTGCAGTGCACCCAGGCCTGTTGCAAGGGGGGGGGGTAGGGGTTCAACCCCCCCCTGAATTTTTTCAGGTTAAAAAAATAAACTTGGTTTACTCATGAATTTTAACTGGTTTACCAAATCCCCATGCTAAGTCTATGAGACGCAAAAAATTAAGAGTCCCTCCAGAACTGCAAGCACTATCTCAAGCAAATATTGACAATTTATTCACACTGTCATTACTTGCAGCAATAGCCGATGTAGTGAAGCAACCAAGCTGGGGGATGTGTGTGTTGAATGCTCTCATGAAGGAGACCAGACTTGGTGGGGGTGGTTGACAGGGGCGGAGCTGCAGGCTATTGAAGGCTGCTCTGCCCCTGCTGTGCTCTTTGCTTCAGCGTGAGCTGAGACAGGTTTCAGCCCCCCCCGAAATTTTCAACCCCCCCCGAAATTTTCAAAACCCCCCCCAAATTTTTAACCCCCCCCCGAAATTTTCAACCCTCCCCAAAAAAATTTTCTGGCTATGGCCCTGAGTGCACCCAAATACCTGGAGTCACTCTGGACCGTGCCCTGACCTACAAGAAGCACTGCCTGAACATCAAGCAAAAAGTGGGCGCTAGAAACAATATCATACGAAAGCTGACTGGCACAACCTGGGGATCACAACCAGACACAGTGAAGACATCTGTCCTTGCACTATGCTACTCTGCTGCTGAGTATGCATGCCCAGTGTGGAACACATCTCACCACGCATGGCTCTTAATGAGACATGCCACATTATCACAGGGTGTCTGCACCCTACACCACTGGAGAAATTACAGTGTTTAGCCGGTATTGCACCACCTGACATCCGCCGGGAAGTAGTGGCCAACAGTGAAAGGACCAAGGCAGAGACATCTCCAGCTCATCCCGTTTGGGTATCAGCCAGCACGCGAACGACTTAAATCGAGAAATTTTCTAAGGTCTACAGAGACACTCGCTGGAACACCTCAGCAAGCGAGAGTCCAAAAGTGGCAGGCTCAAACCCAGAACCTCAACCAATGGCTGATACCAAATGAGAGACTCCCTCCTGGGCACACAGAAAACTGGGCGACTTGGAAGGCGCTGAACAGACTGTCACCACGAGATGCAGAGCCAACCTTAAGAAATGGGGCTACAAAGTGGAATCCAGGACATGCGAGTGTGGAGAAGAGCAAACCACTGACCACCTGCTGCAATGCAACCTGAGCCCTGCCACATGCACAATGGAGGACCTTCTTATAGTAACACCAGAGGCTCTCCAAGTGGCCAGCTACTGGTCAAAGGACATTTAAGCAACTAGCAAGCTTGCAAACTTTGTGCTTTGTTTGTTTTTAATGCAATGCAACTGTTTGGTTTGCTCCTGACACGATAAATAAATAAAATACCAGGCCCTACCCGATCCGTGGAGACTCCAGCTCCTCCCCTTGGCCCGCCTCTCCTGTCCAAATCCCTCCCTCCAAACAGTCAGGCCCTCTTCTAGGGCTCGCCCGGGCACAGTGCTTTCATTTTCAGAGCAGTTCTGGCAGCGTTGGGATCATCACTCTCGGTAGGGTGAGTTATGAGATAAGGGATGTGTGTGTGTGTCTTGATGTGTTCCTCCCGCCCCAATATTTAGGAAAAGATACAGCACTGGGGAGAGTTTTATGTTTCTCTCTCTCTCATCCCTAAACCTGAAAGGATCACACTTTGTAATGGATGACAAGGGCATCCCACTGAGATACATGACCTGCCAAGGGTCAACGTTAGGATTTTACCAGGTCTTTAGTCTTTAGTATAAATCGCAGGACCCCCATAGCATTGGAGTCCTTGTGGACAAGTTAAACATGGGCCAATAATATGATGTAGTGGGAAAAAAACCACAATGGGATTTTGRCCTGCATCAATAGGAGCATAGTGTCTAGACCTAGGGAAGTCATGCTACCCCTCTATTCTGCCTTGGTTAGACCACATCTGGAATACTGTGTCTAATTCTGGGCACCACAATTCAAGAGAGATATTGACAAGCTGGAATGTGTCCAGAGGAGGGCGACTAAAATTATAATRGGTCTGAAGAACAAGCCCTATGAGGAGCRGCTTAAAGAGCTGGGCGTGTTTAGCCTGARGAAGAGAAGGCTGAGAGGGACATGATGAGGGCCATGTATCAAGATTTGAGGGGAAGTCCTAGGGAGGAGGGAGGGAGCTTGTTTTCTAGACTAGAACACAGAACAATGGTTCAAACTACAAGAGAGGAGATTCCACCTGAACATTAGGAAGAACTTCCTGACTGTGAGAGCCGTTCAGCAGTGGAACTCTCTGTCCCGGAGTGTGGTGGAGGCTCCTTCTTTGGAAGCTTTTAAACAGACGCTGGATGGCCATCTGTCAGGGGTGCTTTGAACGCTTCTTGGCAGGGGGTTGGACTGGATGGCCCATGAAGTCTCTTCCAACTCTTTGATTCTATAATTCTACCGTGCTGCTTCCCCCCTGTTGTTTCCTCCAGTTGCCTTGTTTTCTCAAAGGTAGTCTGCCTCCAAACATGAAGGTTTCATGATTATCTTGGGATTTTCATCAATTTCATAGAAACATAGAGTTTGAAGAGACCTCATGGGCCATCCAGTCCAACCCCCTGCCAGGAAGCAGGAAAATTGTATTCAAAGCACCCCCGGCAGATGGCCATCCAGTCTCCGCTTAAAAGCCTCCAAAGAAGATGCCTCCACCACACTCCAGGGTCAGAGAGTTCCGCTCCTGAACAACTCTCACTTTGGGTGTTGTATATTCCTGGGCATAAGGAGCTGTAGCCTCAGTAACCAAAGTGTTAATGACATTCGTAGAAAGAATTGGAGTTTGTGAAGTGTCAGCCGTTGAATGAAAGCAGCAGGGAATCCAGAAGCAGTTGCAGCATTATTCTGTTGTAGTGATTAAAAACAATGATCTTGTGGTGCCCAAAGATCATTGGGCACCACAATGATCCTACCTGGCATTAATAACTAAGCAGGGTCAACCTTGGTTAGCACTTGGATGGGAGACTGCTAATGAATAGAATCATAGAATCATTGCTGCAAATTGGGTTCAAAGTACAAAAAAGTAGTTTACACTTAGGCCCCTTCTACACTGCCATATAATTCAGATTATTAAAGCAGATTATCAATATTATCTACTTTGAAATGGATTATAAGAGGCTGGATTTACACTGCCCTATATCCCAGGTTCTGATCCCCGACAATCTGCTTTGAACTGGATTATATGAGTCTACACTGCCAGATAATCTGGGATAAGCAGATAATCTGGGATCAGATCCTGGGATATAGGGCAGTGTAGATTCAGTCTGAGTCTACACTGCCAGATAATCTGGGATAAGAAGATAATCTGGGATCAGATCCTGGGATATAGGGCAGTGTAGATTCAGTCTGAGTCTACACTGCCAGATAATCTGGGATAAACAGATATTCTGGGATCAGATCCCGGGATATAGGGCAGTGTAGATTCAGTCTGAGTCTACACTGCCAGATAATCTGGGATAAGCAGATATTCTGGGATCAGATCCCAGGATATAGGGCAGTGTAGATTCAGTCTGAGTCTACATTGCCATATTGTCTAGTTCAAAGAAGATAATCTGGATTATGCGTGGCAGTGTAGAAGGGACCTGAGGTGGGGATTTGGGCCGACAATCTAAACCAGTTTCCAATCCTTGGGCCGTAGAATGAGGCATTCATATTTCATTACTTCTCAGGCTGGGTCTACACTTCCCTATAACCCAGGATCTGGCCCTAGATTATTTGCTTTGAACTGGATTATATGAATCTACACTGGCAGATAATCTGGGATAAGAGGTAATCTGGGATCAGATCCTGGAATATAGGGCAGTGTAGACTTAGCCATAATTCGATTCTATGTCTTGAATCAAGAGGGAGGAAGTAAACAGAGGGAGGCATCACTCCTCATTTCCTATTTTATTGACACAACTTTTAATGTTTTTACATATTTGTTTGTCGAAGTAGTGGTGTGTATCCCAAACCAAGGATGGCCACACTCACAACTGCATTTTTTGTGCCTTGGCAATTACTAGAGCTAAAGAGATAAGCCACTTTTAAAATATGTAGTGGCTTATCTCTTCTGCCCAGGATGATGTCAAAATGAGATAAACCCCAAATATTCATGTAGGATGGAATCCTATTTACTTTAAGCAGTTGCACAATTCTAACGCTCCTTTCCTCTGCGACAGCCATGGCCGTTCCTCAGGACTTCCAAACATTTGTCTTCCTTGATATCGAAACCACCGGTTTGCCCCGACACCAGCCTCACATGGCGGAGCTGTGCCTCTTTGCTGTGCACCGGCGATCTTTGCTACCCTCTCTGCCGAACGATGCCCTGACCCCGCAGGAGCAGCTGCCCCGTGTCATAGACAAGCTCACCCTCTGCATTAACCCACAGAAACCTTTCACCCCTGGAGCCAAGGTGATCACTGGGCTGAGCAACCAGAACCTGGAGGAGAACTGCAAGCAGGATCTCAACAGTGCTGCGGTCGAGGTTCTGCTGGGGTTCCTGCGCCGGCAAGCTGGCCCAATCTGCTTGGTGGCCCACAATGGCTTGGGGTTTGATTTCCCCCTGCTGTGTACGGAGCTTCAGAGAGTGGGCACCAACCTGCCTCCAGACATGGGCTGCCTGGATACACTGCTTGCCATGAGGACATTAGTTAAAGGCGCACATGGGGGCTACCAGCTGGGGAATCTGTACCGGTACTTTTATGGCCAGGATCCCATCCGTGCCCACTCCGCTGAAGGGGATGTGATCACTCTTCTCCTGGTGTTTCTTGCTAGAGCTCCTGAGCTGATCAAATGGGCAGCCCACAACGCCTGCCCTTGGAAGGAGATCCAGCCTATGTACCAGCCCAGTATAGGCAGGAACTGAAACTTGCGCAATGTATGATGATGGGAAGAAGCGTGAACGCTTCCTCCAGCCTTTCTGGCATGTTTAGACTGAATGCTTTAATTATGGGATTCGATATATACAGCTTTCATGCATATTGTTAGCCCTAGAGTTCGGAAGACTACCTCTCAGCACTGATAGATGCAAACTATTTCAAAAACAATGTTAGTTGAAGTAACTGTGGTGTAGTGGTTTGAGTGTTGGGATTATGACTCTGATGACCAGGGTTCAATTCCTTTGGCAAATCACACTCTCTCAACCCAGAAAACTCCATATTTTGCCCGTATCAGGATTGCCATAAGTCGGAAGTGAATTGACATAATGGAGCCTGATACTACTACTACTACTAATAATAATAATAATAATTTTAATAATAATAATAAGGTTTGAAGAGAAACAACTGGAAAAGCGTGGTCCCAGTGGTGATCGGCACACTGGGTGCCGTGCCTCAAGACTTTGACCTGCACTTAAAGCAATCAGCGCTGACAACATTACCATCGGTCAGCTGCAAAAGGCCACTTTACTGGGATTTGCACACGTTATTCGCCAATACATCTCACAGTCTTAGACACTTGGGAAGTGTCTGACGTGTGATCCAATACAACAGCCAGCAGAGTGCCTGCTGTGGACTCATCTTGTGGTGTTTCAAATAATGCATCACATAGTCCTAGACACTTGGGAAATGTCCGAAGTGTGATCCAATACAAAGGCCAGCATAGTGATCTTGTTTGCTGTGGACTCATCTTGTTGTGTTTCAAGTAATAATAATAATAATTGACTCTGGCCACAAGCCAGTCAGTGTGATCCCAGTGGTGATCGGCACACTGGGTGCAGTGCCTAAAGACCTTGGCCTGCACTTAAACACAATTGACACTGACAAAATTACCACCTGCCAGCTGCAGAAGGCCACCCTACTGGGATCTGCCTCATTATTCGCCAATACATCACACAGTCCTAGACATTTGGGAAGTGTCCGACGTGTGATCCTATACAACAGCCAGCAGAGTGTCTGCTGTGGACTTATCCTGTTGTGTTTCTAATAATAATAATAATAATAATAATAATAATAATAATAATAATAATACCATCTGTCCGCTGCAAAAAGGCCACCCTACTCGGATCTGCACACATTATTCGCCAATACATCACACAGTCATAGACACTTGGGAAGTATCCGACATGTGATCCAATACAACAACCAGCGTAGTGATCTTGTTTGCTGTGTACTAATCTTGTTGTGTTTCAAATAATAATAATAATAACAAAAACCTTATTTTTAATCTTCCCTGTCTCCCCTGGGGACTCTCAAAGGACTAATTAGTCGGGCCGTTGTAGGTATTTTTCGGGCTGACCACCTTGATTAGCATATAATGGCCTGACTGTGCCTGGAGCAACTTTTGTTGAGAGGTGATTAGATGTCCTTGTTTGTTTCCTCTCTCCTCTCAACAAAATCACCTCTCAACAAAAGTTTGCTCCAGGCACAGTCAGGCCATTATATGCTAATCAAGGTGATCAGTTGAAACATTCACACCTAGCTCTAGCAGACAAGAGTCCTTTGTCCCACCCTGGTCATTCCACAGATATATAAACATTTTCCTACTTCCAACAGACCTCACTACCTCTGAGGATGCTTGCCATAGATGCAGGCGAAACGTCAGGAGAAAATGCCTCTAGAACATGGCCATATAGCCGAAAAACCTACAACAACCCAGTGATTCCGGCCATGAAAGCCTTCGACAATAGACTAATTAGTCCTTTGAGAATATTATTTCACAGTACCCCACCTCCAAAAATACTTTTATATTAGCCACGTGTTTCAAATTGGGGGTGAAGTTGAGTTGTTTGCTGTACACTATTTGGTGAGTGTATAGCTGAAAGAAATTTCAGTAACAAAGTCAAAATATTATCCGTTAAAATACAGTGTCGGTGTTTCAGTAGATTAATCTATTTAGCAATGCCCAAACCCAAGAATATACACTGTGTGATGAAACACATGAAATATATATTATTAAGTTTGGGCATTGTTAAATAGATAAGTTGCACTGAAACCTTTAGTGAAGAATCCAAATTAACCTCAAGTGTTATTGACTCAATAGCATGTTCCCGACAGGTTTTTCTACCCCGGCACACCTCTTCTTGCCAGGAAGTGGGTTGCAAAGCTGGTATTTTCTTAGTGGAGCATTGACTCAGAAGTGCCACAGCCTTATTTTGTCTTATTTAATTGTCGGAAGGAAAATAGGAGGGAGATTTTGACATATTTTGCTGGTCCTTGTCTTCGTCATCCCAGATCCATAATGTTACAATGTCTTTCATATATCCAGGCACAGAGCATGAGTTTGTACTTTGTGGCCTTTAGTTAGCTAAGTAATCAATATCAACCAATATTTATTCAAAATAATGATTAGAAATCAATTTCATTATTATTTAGTAATCGGTAATTGTGAATCAATTTGAAATATTTTAAGTAATAGCGCTTTTTGCATAAGTAATGAATTTTTTGTCATTTCTCAATCTATAATAATTTGGGCAGTAATTGATAATGACCAATATTTATTCCTAATAATGATCAACAATCAATTTTATCACTAATCAATAACTGTGAATCAGTAATAACTTTGAAATATTTAAGTAATTGTGCTTTTTCTATTTATTCTTTATAGTATTAGTAGATTTTTTTAAAAAAAGTAATTGAACTATGTACTTTGATGAATTTATGAATTAGTGGAATTAACATTCATCCAATTTTTGAACAGGCAGTTTAATTATTGGTAGCAGACCGTGCTGCACTGCTTCTCAAGTATTCTAATCTATAGATTACTAGCCGTCCCCTGCCACGCGTTGCTGTGGCCCACATGGGGGTTCTGTGTGGGAGGTTTGGCCCAATTCTATCATTGGTGGGGTTCAGAATGCTCTGTGATTGTAGGTGAACTATAAATCCCAGCAACTACAACTCCCAAATGTCAAGATTCTATTTTCCCCAAACTCCACCAGTGTTCACATTTGGGCATATTGAGTATTCGTGTAGAGTTTGGTCCAGATCCATCATTGTTTGAGTCCACAGTGATCTCTGGATGTAGGTGAACTACAACTCCAAAATCAAAGGACACTGCCCACCAAACCCTTCCAGTATTTTCTGTTGTTCATGGGAGAACTGTGGGGAGGCTAAATTAACTAATTTATGAGACCATAAAGAAGACTCCAGCAGAGCATTCCAGTGGGGAAGCATGCGGGGAATGCGGAAGTACTTCATCAGCGTCGCAGATGGACGATGAAAGCGACAGCTCCCCTGGCGGCCAGAAAAAGTTAAATAGCCTCTGTGTATGTCTGTATATGTTTGTATGTCAAAAATTGGCATTGAATGTGTACACTGTAATCCACCCTGAGTCCCCTGCGGGGTGAGAAGGGCGGAATATAAAAGCTGTAAAATAAATAAATAAAAGAAAACTGTGTGCCAAGTTTGGTTCAATTCCATCGTTAGTGGGGTTCAGAATGCTCTTTGATTGTAGGTGAACTATAAATCCCTGCAACTACAACTCTCAAATGACAAAAGCAGTTTTTTTGAGTGAAGGACATACATTGGGTTATTAGGTGTCTTGTGTCCAAATTTGGTGTCATTACGCCCAGTGGTTTTTGAGTTCTGTTAATCCCACAAATGAACATTACATTTTTATTTATATAGTATTTAAGGATTAGTTAAGTCCAGTTGTGTCCGACTCTGGGGATTGGTTTCTCATCTCAATTTCTAAGCCAAAGAGCCAGCGTTGTCTGTAGACACCTCCAAGGTCAAAACGATACCTATTGATCTACTCAAATTTGCATGTTTTCAAACTGCTAGGTTGGCAGAAGCTGGGGCTGACAGCGGAAGCTCATGCCGCTCCCCGGATTCAAACCACCAATCTTTTGGTCAGCAAGTAGCAGCTCAGCGGTTTAACCCACCGCGCTACTGAGGACTCCACTTCAAGGATTTATTGAAATTAAAATGAATTTGACACTATAACTGCCCATATTAAGTACAAGTTACATATCCCTAAATATAACTATTGTAAAAAAATCAATTTGTTTAAGCTGGGTGCTTATTTAAAACATTCAACACATGCCAACGTACATATGAATTACCATAATAGAGCCTTTCTCCTGACACTAATTATCCCTTTGGGAGTATTATTTGACTGTACCCTATATCCAAAAATACTATTAAATGTTTCGAATTGGAGATGAGGTTGAGTTGTTTGTTGGACACTGTTTGGCTTGTTTATAACTGAAGGAAAATGTCAAATGACTGGCTCGCATCTTTGTACGTGAGCCAATATGATCTCAACATGATTCTCCAAAAACTTCCAGGTCCTCTTGTTGTCTCCAGTGTTTTGCATTGACATATTTAACTGTCCTGACACATTTGTGACTGTTGCGGCAAATAGGCTTCCCTGTTCCTTATGCACTGTGTAATGACCCATCTTTGCTGAATATTCATTCATGCAGCTGATCATTCATGTATCTTATGGCAATAAATAATTGTGTATTTTAATGGAAAGTACTTTTTGTTGCTTATGTTGCCTTTTGCCTTTGTTTCATGGAATGACCTGATATCTCCACCTTCTGTTGTAGTATAACTGAAGAGAGATTATTTTAAAAATAGCCACGTGTTTACATGATTACAAGAAAAATCCTGCACCTACACTGTACAATTAACCTAGTTTAACACCACTTTAGCTACCATGGCTCAGGCTCTTTCTACACTGCTACATAAAATCCAGATTATCTGCTTTGAACTGAATTGTAGGGCAGTGTAGGCTCACATAATCCAGTTCAAATCAGATAATCTGGGTTTTATATGGCAGTGGGGCCTCAGATCCCATCTACACTGCTCTGGTTACATCCCATATAGAATCATAGAATCAAAGAGTTGGAAGAGACCTCATGGGCCATCCAGTCCAACCCCCTGACAAGAAGCAGGAATATTGCATTCAAATCACCCCTGACAGATGGCCATCCAGCCTCTTTTAAAAAGGTTCCAAAGAAGGAGCCTCCACCACATTCCGGGACAGAGAGTTCCGGGGCAGAGTAGTATAGACTACTGCAACTCGCTCTACGTGGGGTTGCCCTTTGAAGACGGTCCGGAAGCTTCAACTAGTCCAACGAACAGCAGCCAGGTTGCTAACAGGAGCGGCGCTCAGGGAGCATACAACCCCCTTGTTGCGCCAGCTCCACTGGCTGCCAGTTTGCTACCGGGCCCAATTCAAAGTGCTGGCTTTGGCCTATAAAGCCCTAAACGGTTCTGGCCCAACTTACCTGTCCGAACATGTCTCCCCTTACGAACCATCGAGGACTCTAAGATCGTCTGGGGAGGCCCTGCTCTGTCCCGCCTTCGTCACAAGTACTGGTGGAGATGAGAGACAGGGCCTTCTCAGTGGTGGCCCCTTGGCTATGGAACGCCCTCCCTAGGGAGATCAGATCTGCTCCCTCACGCTTAACATTTCAGAGGCAAGTAAAAACATGGCTGTTCGAGTAAGCGTTTACAAATGCAGAGTAGCTAATATAGGAAATCGAATGACTTGACAATGCAACTGGATAAAGCTTGATAATAAGGAGACGCTAATGATGTTGTTTTTATTGCTCTTGTGCTTTATACTGTTTAATATTTTAATTTATATTATGTTTTATGTATACTGATTTGTTGGAAACCGCCTTGAGTCACTGACTGGCTGAGAAAGGCGGTATACAAATACAGATATATATACACACACACACACACACACACACACTTACTTACTTAGGTGATCCCTCGTTGGCTGAGTAGGATAGTCTTCCAGGATCAGTATTCTTGTGAGTCTGTAGGTGGTGAGAGACTCACAAGAATGCTGAGAGATAAGTGAGAGATAAAAAAAACAAGCAGTTTGGTCCATCCTTATCTCCATGTACTCTTGCTGTTGCTACATACAGTATCTTCAAATCAAGATGCATTCATAGTGTTGGACCAAAGTGAAAACGGGCCCTTTCACACAGCCATATAGAATTAGGTGATCCCTCGTAGCCCGAGGATGATGGTCCTCCAAGGTCGGTGTTCTGGCGGTGATTGTGGAGCCCTATTCTTTATCTGCATCTTCTTCCGCAGTGAGGGGATCGGTTTCCAGGTGGAAGGCGGTCTTGGTTGGCTTGATGCCTTCCTCTTGGCACATTTCTCTCTTTCACCCTCCATTCATGCCTCTTCAAATTCTGCAGCACTGCTGGTCACAGCTGACCTCCAGCTGGAGCGCTCAAGGGCCAGGGCTTCCCAGTTCTCAGTGTCTATGCCAGAGTTTTTAAGGTTGGCTTTGAGCTCATCTTTAAATCTCTTTTCCTGTACACACACACACACACACA